TAGCCACAAGGTATAGATAGGGACTCTCAGTCTGGGGCAAGGGATGCTCTGTGTTCTTGGTGCCGGGGGGGGGGGCACCAGTGGGAGGGGCTTCAGGTGTCCTGGCCCCACTGCTGGACCTCCTGAGGGCCCTTGGTCTTTTTGGCCACTGTGTGACACAGAGTGTTGGACTGGATGGGCCACTGGCCTGATCCAACACTGGCTTCTCTTATGTTCTACATCTGACAGAGGGAGATTTGACTCTTGAAAGTCTCTACCCTATTAAAACCCTGCTGGTGTCGAAGATGCGCGTGGGCTCAAATCCTGCTCTCCTGCCATAGACCAAACACGGCCACGCTCTGGATCTCTCTCCACGAGGGCTTCGGGTGTCCAGAGTCCGTTCCGAGGCCAGGCTCCACTGCACAACTGCCTGGAAAACCCGCCACACAGAGAGACCCGGACTGGCCCCTGCGGCATCGAGGACCTTCCCCTCCCAGAGCCTCCATCCATTCCCACACGCATCGGGGTGCTCCCTCCAGAGGGGAACGCCCAGCCCCACGCGGGGCGGTGTCTCCAGCCCCACCCCCTTACCCAAAGAGACCAGCGGCTCGTAGTGGCCTTTGGTGATGTTCCTGTACAGCTCCTTCTGCCACTCCTCCAGGCGGGCCCATTCCGGTGCCGAGAAGCTGACCGCGCTGTCGTCAAAAGTCACCGGGACCTGAAAGCACAGGCGGAAGTCGTGAACGGGCAAAGGAGAGGGCAGCAGAGGAATCGAGGCTCCCAGTGGAGGGACTGGCTCGGACCGACGTTCCCTCTAAGCTGTGGGGTCTTGTGAGCAAAAATTCTACTTTGCGAGCTCCTGGCATGAAAGTTGTGAGCGAGCGATTGGGCCGCTGCATAAATTAGTCTGCTCTGGAGCCCTCCTTCCTGAGCTAAGACAAAAATGTGTGAGCCAGAGGCTAAAAAACTGTGAGCTGGCTCACACTAACTCAGCTTAGAGGGAACATTGGCTCGGACTGAGACCTTTCCCTTCGTCTCTCTCTGCCTCCTGCACTTCCTCCCAGGGCACAAAAAACCCAGACCTGCTAGTACAAGGACTACAAAAAAGCCGCAAATGGGGGACGGGGGGGACGGACAGAATGGTGAACCCACTAAGACACTCAGGTATGTAAGCAAATACAGTCACTTTTATACTCATATACTACATCAGAAATATACAAAATTACATACAAGGCATACTAGCCAGAACTGTACAATATCTCAGTGATCTATAACCAGTTATTCGTGGAACAATCATTAGAACATTACAAATTATAATGCTAATAGCAGTGGAACATTCCTAACTATCAGTGGAACAATCGTTACAAAGCAGCTGGCTTTCGCTTGGTTTCGTATCAAGGCTTCATCAGAAGCAAATCAACTTATACTGTGTTATGGTTTTTCTTGGTTTGCAACTGCGCCTTTCTCATTTCTAAAGGCACCTCTTCTCAGGGGTCGCTACAGTGAATGTTGGGACTTGCCCTCAGTTCCCATGAAGATGTCTCATATTGGACCTGTCTGCATGACACTGAGCTTCGAAGCCAAAGGAGTCTTCTCCTTCCTCTCTCCCTGCCTCCTGCACATCCTCTCAGGGGGCACGGGGGGGGGGGGGGGGA